AATAAAATTCCACATTTAGACAACTTTTTTTTTTTTTTTTTTTTTTTACATATTTGAACATTAAATTGTTAAAAATGATTATATGTGAACACATTTAACATGTTAAATGATCAAATATGTACAAAAAAATATCTAAAAATAAACAAGACGAAAAGGTAATTATTATGGGTAAATGTCACTGTGACCCAACCATCTTTCTAGTTATGGTTTAAATGGTCCATATTGGTTTTTTTTCCATTTGAGGGGAACGAAGACTTAAGAAACAATTTTTAAAGCCATTTTGTTCAAAGTGGAAAGGATGAGCCTGTTAACACTATCCTAGTTACCATATTAGGTACACACGTCATTGAAATTAATCAATCTAAGATGCCATGTAACCTTCTCGTTTAATGAGCTTGCCCTACAAAACACATTTTATAAAAACCCTCCAACTATCTTCTTCCCTTTTTTGTCGTATTGTCTGTCTACAAAATCATGTTGTCATGGCGTTTTACATGAAGATTGATCTTCAATTTCTTGGATTTTTTACGAGGTACCCCGGAATTAGTTATATGGATGGAGCGGAACAAAGGTTCAAAGATGTTGATTTTGCTAGAATGGACAGGAACGAGTTTGTTAACTTCCTGCAAAGATCTACAAATGAAATGTGTGTAAATGTTTATTATTGCATGCCTGAAAAAGACTTTCATGATGGATTAAGGATCTTAGCTACTAAAATAGACTACCAAGACTTCATGGAAGCTAGGTATGCTACTGGTTGTGTCGTGGATGTATACATGGATCATCTAGGTGTGAATGTGCAACAATAGATTATTGATGAGCAACTTGATGAGAGCATTGTGAAAGACAATCATTTTGAGGGATTTATGCAGAATGGCCCGAATGAACTGCAAGGTAATGTACACGATGACCTTGAACACATAGATTGCAATCCAATGAATAAGACCATTAACGATGAGTTTTTGAGCAAGTTATGCCCAAAAGTGTAGTCAGTCCCAAACAGTCCACCTCATGAGGAACTATATCTTCAAATTGAAGACAATGATGTAAATCTTGAAAAGGTTACTACATACAATGAAAATGTGCATTGGAAAAAACAAAAACTTGTGTTAGGAATGCGATTTCATAGTCCAAAACAGTTAAATCTTATGTTATGTAATTATGTTGTTGCTAATGGGTATTAGTTGTGCTACAAAAAAAATGACAGTAGAAGACTTTTATTTAAATCTTGTTCTGGGAAGTGTAAGTTTAGGCTATGGGCTTCATAGATGAGTCAAGAAAACTCTTTCCAGATTAAGTCCCTTATAGATGAGCATAATTGTGCTGGAAATTTCAAACTTGGATCAATTATTAGCTATGCTTGGATTGGTAGCCATTTTACAACTGAGTTCTTACAAAAACAAAAAATGAGTGTTAGGATGCTCAGGGAAGAGGTGAAAAAAAGCTTTTGGTATTGATGTAAGTATGGGTTAGTACAGGAGAGCAAAAAAGCATGTTATTGAGTTAATTAAAGACACATTGGTTTAGTACTATTCAAAGCTTTGGTAATATGGTGAGGAGATAAGAAGATCAAACCCTGGATCAATTGTGAAAATGGATGTCAATAATATGCCAGATGGGAAAAAGTATTTTAGTAAGTTTTATGTATGTTTTGAGGGACTAAAACAATGGTGGATGGGCAGTTGTAGAAGAGTAATTAACCTGGATGGCTGTTTCCTTAAGGGGATATGTACTGGAGAGTTAATAAGTGCAGTTGGAAGGGATGCTAATATTCATATATTCCCAATTGCATGGGCAGTTGTTTGTGTTGAAAACAAAGAGAATTGGAAATGGTTTTTGGAGAATTTAAAAGATAACTTAGGAGTGGACAATGGTTTTGGAATTACATTGATGTCAGATCAGCATAAGGTATGTTCCTTAGTTGTATTCTATTTATAAATGAAATTTCCCTATACTATTTTACCAATTCATTTCTTAATGTGAAGGGACTATTGGAAGCTATGAAGGAGATTTTGCCTAGTGTTGAACAAGGATAGTGTGCAAGGCACGTTGTTGCCAACTTTAGGAAAAGATTCCCAGAGTACTGTATGAGAAGATGTTTTGGAAGGCATGCAAGGCATCTACTGAGCCTTTACACAATGAAACAATGAAGGAAATACAACTTCTCAACCCATCAGCCTTTAAGTATCTAATAGAAAAGAACCCACAATCATGGTGTAGAGATTTTTTCAGGAGGGAAAGATGTGTGATGCTCTAGAGAATGTGTTGTCAGAGAGCTTTAACATTATCATAAGAGATGCAAGGAAAAAACCAATCATCACAATGCTTGAAGATATTAGATTGTATGTTATGGAAATGCAGTTTCATTTGAGCATGAAAGGCAGTTCACGGTCAGATTTTCAACCATGTCTAACAATTACATCCTTACTGAATCAATTGAAAAAAGCTCAAAGGTAAACTTAGTTTAAGTTTCTTAACATCATAGAAAATACTAATCATAGATTAGCTTTTACATAATGTTATTAGATATTGGCAGGTTTTACCAACTGGTTTGAACCAGTTTGAGACAAGAAACATAACAGAGTCTTATGTGGTTGACTTAGACAAGAAGACATGTTCTTGTAGAGTTTGGCAACTAAATGGATATGGGTGTGTGCACTCAGTTGCAACTATTTGTTACCTAAACAAATGTGTGAGAAGTTATGTGGATCCCATGTTCTTTGGAGCTTTTTACATAAACACTTACAAGTATCCACTAAGAGGGATGAATCACAGCAATATGTGGCCAAGTACTAATTTCATACCACCAGTGCCACCTTTGAAAAGGAAAATGCCAGGCAGGCCTAAAGTCAATAGAAGGAGGGACCCACGAGAAAAGACTACTAGACATACTGGGTTAATGTTTGGAAAGAAAATTCTATGTGGTGTGTGTAAACAAGTTGGTCACAACAAGGTTACATGTCCTCAAGCTGAGAAGCCCAAAAAACTCAAGGTGAAGAGAAAGAGATCAACTACTAAAGGTGGTAATGAAGAGGAAGGATATGGTTCAAAAACAACAATTGCATATAAACGGAAGCAATCTGAGAGGATTATAAAGAAAAAACTGGCTAAAAGGGTTGAAGGAAAAAATGGAGAAGGAAATTCAGGTGACAATCCAATGAATATTGAATAGGGATAAGTGTTTTTTGGTAGTGTGTTAAGACTATGTTGGTTGTTGGATGGGTTATTTAAGTTTGTTTCATGTAGTACTATGTTGGTTGTTTCTTAAGACTAATATGTGTGTGGTCCCATACGTTTATTGTTATTTGCATGTTTGAATGTAATGCACAATCATGGGTGTAAGTGTTTTATATTGTGTGTCTGTGTAGTAGTTTTTTGTGGTATGTGTTTGTTGAATGTTAATTTATGTACACTACTAACACAAACAAAACGATGACACACAATAACAAAGCATTTCCATTTAATAGGAAAGGGATTCAAATCCATTACATACCCATTAAAAATACATTGGTAAACATGAAAGGAAACCATAATTTCATTGCATATCCATTACAACTTGTAGACTAATACCACACAAAAAAAGCCCAACTTAGAAATAACCATAATTTCATCTTTCTAACATTAGATTGAAGCTTCTTATTTGCCCAAACCAAATTTGTAATCAAAGTTGTGTCACCAGTTGTGTTCGTATTCTCCACTTCATCTGCCCAACATATGAAACCATCACGAGGCCCCTACAATGGAAGTTGAATGTTTACAGATTAAATTACCAAACCCAGGAAAAAATTATCAAAATCTAGGTCAACAGTTAACGAAAATGCAATTGACATTTACCTTTTTGGGGCAAGCATAAAAGAGTCGGCCAATGTTGTATTTAGTAGTTGACGTTCGTAATATTGCTTCACATCCACACGAGCATTCAACTGATTTCATCAATCTCTTCATTTCAGTGAGGTCACTTGAACGGTAACAAGAGTAGGAGAGCAAAAAAAAAAGCCTAGTATGTCCACATATGTGTCTCAAACATGAGTATATGTTTGGGTAAATTGTGAAATGACGAAATTACACTCATTGACACTAATTAATTGTGATTTCCATTAGCGAGTAATTTTCCATTAACTAAAGCTGGTTACAAAGTTACTTTATACAAAATTGCATGTTCTTAGACAGGTCTTCAATCACCTTCGCCAAAACAAACACATAAACCCTAATACAAGCATTATACTACCAAAAGAAGACACACACCCATACCTAATCAACATAAACACGAAGACCACCAACATATCAGGGGTTCACGATACGAAGAAACTTCTCCACCATAAAACTAAAGTCACAAGCACAAGTCCGATCACCAATACAGTTAACGAAGTCACCTTTTTCTCTGTGCGGTCAATCCGACGATGCAATGCGAGTGACTCAACCCTGCTTAACACCAAATCTCGACCCATTTCTTCTTTCAGACAGGCGACTTTCGTTTT